GGGGATTCGAACCCGCCACCTTAGGTGTACGTGGCTGGCGCCTTAGCCGGTTGAGCTATAGGCGCCGAGCCGCTTGGGAGGGTCTTGAACTTCTAAGTTCAAACAATCCATCCACGCTGGCCTCCCATAATTCTAAGATTAGCCACCATACCACCTGGCTATCAGTATTTCTTGAACCTTTATTAAATAGGTTTTTTTTAACTACTTGAATGAATAAAGGCAGATCTGTATTCATGTTACATGTGAAATGTGTTGATAATAGTTAAAAGTTAAGTATAGCAGAAAATAGTAGATTGACCAACTATAGGCCTACATGAGAGAAAAAACACAATTAAATTCAAGAATGGTGGATAGGGCTGGTTAGTTCCCATATACAAAGTAGAAGTATATGGCACACTTCCTGGGGGAAGGACTCAACTACAACTCAGCCTTTGGACTTAAAAATGTAAATAATGTAACCTAATTATATGTACTCTCTCATATTAACCCATTTTTAAAAAGCCTTCAAAAAAAGTTAAGTACAGTGAGTTCAGTAATCGACTTATGTGGGAATAGGAGATTTCTATTACTAGAGGGTTAAAAACATTTATGGAATCTCTAATTGGTTTATATAGACATCATTTCTTAAAATGGTGCAGTCATATCTACATAAAAAATTGGCAGAAATGGACAGAATTCCCCGCCTGTTTAGATTGGAACCTAGCACACCTAGGCCTTAACCTGATTTTATTCTCTTGGTTTATCTTCTGAGAAAGATGTAGCATAAAACCTCCCTGAAGGAACAAAAAATAAAAAGTGTGTCTATGTGATACTTTATTCAATATGTTCTTAAAATCAGCATCTGAAAGGTGGCCATTATGTAAGAATAAATATGTTGAAATCAAGGACCAGCTTATAATCATTTGTGTATTGGTCTTGGTTTAAGAGCTTCTTAGTATTTAATTTAAGAAGAATTTTGTTTCCATGTCAGAATACATTACAGTCCCCAGAATGGAGTTTAGCTAATGCAAATACCCTGATTTCTGTTAATACCCATTTCTTATCAATTTTGAGTGAAGAAGTTCCCATATACAAGAAATTTGCCTGGTTATATGTTTGTTGTATGGTCCCCAAAGGCTTCTTTTCAATCTCATTGTAGTCTCAAGATCACAAAGTAGGTACTTTAGGCCAGGCTCAGTGGCTCACGCTTGTAATCCTAGCACTATGGGACACTGAGGTGGGTGGATTGCTTGAGCTCAGGAATTCCAGACCAGCCTGAGCGAGAGAGAGACCTTGTCTCTTAAAAAAAAAAAAAATTAGCTGAGCACTGTAGCAGGCACCTACAGTCCCAGCTACTTGTGAGGCTGAGGCAAGAGAATTTCATGGGCCCAAGAGGTTGAGATACTGTGAGCTATGACACCATGGCACTCTACCAAGGGTGAAAAACTTTTGTCCCCAAAAAACAAACAAAAAAAAGGTAGCTACTCTGGATATTTGAATGGATAACTTTGGACAGTGTCCTTTACATATGAATATTAATTTTTTTTATCATAATTGTAACTGTGATTCTATAACTTAATTACTTTATGATACTAACCTGGCCTTTGCTAATTTAAATTTATTCAGTTGGCAATTAAATAGTTTTTTAATGGCATTATTAATATCATGAATTGGCACTCGATGTGAGACTCTTTCTTTTTTGCAATTTCAGCTTCTCCCATGGTACAAGTTGATGAGAAGGGTGAGAAAGTGAGACCAAGTCATAAGCGTTGTATTGTGATTCTTAGAGAGATTCCTGAAACAACACCAATAGAGGTAAATCATTAATCATTGTTAAACTAAATGTTCTTTAAATTGGAAGAGGTATATAAGCAGAGTATGTCAGTGCCCTGATATCAATCATTGTGATTAGGATAAATATTAATGTGTTTTATAAATTCTAAATTACTAGACAGATGAGAGGGAAGAAGTGAGAATACCAATTCTGAATTTACTGAGTTGACTGAAAAGCAATTAAAATATAAATAGGCTATTTTGGCTACTTGAGGAATGAGTGGATGTGAGAAAATTTTGACTGGGTGCAATGCCTCGTACCTGGTAATCCTAGCATTCTGGAAGGCCAAGGTAGGGGGATTGCTTAAGCTCAGTACCTCCCCCCTTTT